AAACGTGAGGCCAGACTTTTTCATTTCACTTTATGTATTGGGAGTGTCAGTGAAGCGAGCTTTCATTTTGTTACTATAATCTACTACGCTATTTATATTTCGAATGAGTAGGTTTGAAACTAACAGAAGATAGTAAATAGGATTTTCACTCAGTTTTGGCCGCATAGGGTGAGGAAGATTGTTCCCACAATAAAATTTGTAATTTCACTACAGGAATATGATATAAGAAAGGACTGTCCCTCCTTAAAATTCGGGTTTGTCTCGTAACCTAATACGTCGTAGGGGTTAACGTACTGAGACTATAGACTGCGCTACGCGGATTCACATGCAAATCGCAAGGGGACTACATAGGAACAGTGTAAAACCAATAGGAGACATAAACAGTGAGCATATTCAAAGGAAAAATGCCTATTACATTTGAGAGTCGGCACACAAGAGAATTGGACATAGGCAACTCATAAACTTGGCATTATGTATAGAAGAGCGAGAGATCCGACAGTGAACATAGATAGCTGACTATTAGTATTCGAGTTTGATCATATACGTGGTACGTTAAGTAAAATCTTGATCACGAGTTTTGCTTGGTGCACATGCGTCACAGTGATAAGGGAATCTGCAGCATCAAATTAGGTTTCCATGCCACTTCAGAATCCAGACTTCAAGTGTTTGCTCAATGTTGCTGGCGTATACTTTACTATCAAAGACTCGAGGCAGAGTATAGAACATAACGCCTTAATTAGCCCGGATATGGTGGCGACGATCGAGTGAAATCATTGAACCGGGCAGATAAGGGACGGATCCTACAAAGCAAGTTAAAGACTCTAATAGGACCTGGAGGAAGAGGATTATGGACTAAACTGCAGCCTTGGATCAACACTGCTGACACAATGAGAGGGATGGGGGCACTAGCGGAGAGTGTGAATAGGTCTCACCAAATTCGCTATAAAGGGCACACCAGGACTAGGTTTGAATAAGCAAGCAAAAGATTGTGATAGTGAAGAGGTGATACGAGGGTATAGAATAGGTGAATGTACCAGGACAAGGAGATACCACAACTATTTAGTAGACAATTGGTCAAAAGATCGACTTCAATTGTTTTTTTGAAAAGTTGTGGTGCGGTGCTAAGACGGGCAAAGCCCACTGACGATGCCGACTGCGATGTCGGCTAAACGTCTGGGAATGTAGCAAGTCCATGGTCTGGCTGGAAATTTTCATGCATACCATGGACTCGGGATAAGTACGTTCCCCTAGGTCTTCCTTCCAATATGACCAATTTGCGAAAACGAGGTAAAACAATTTCTATTCAACGAAAGGAAATCGCGACCATACAAAAGGCCACACCATCTTAGTCTTCATGCCTTCGAAAGTATATATTTTGCCCATGCTTTTACTCTTGGCTACAAGGCATTTTATCCGATCTGAGCAAATGCATTCTACAGCTCCTGTCTTTTTTGCCTCTATCTTCCTTCATTTCTCAGGTTATGGGTAGTCCGACCGAGGCAACCTGGCCTGGAGTCTCTAAGCTTCCGCAATACAATAGCCTACTTGGTCCATCACCCGGCAGTGCTGATTCTGGTACCGGTAGTGCCGGTGGATTCTCAGGTACAGGGCTATTGGGCAATGGTGGGCCTTTAGGTTGCGGTTCCTCAGCCCGACTTCCCTCACTTGCCTCTTCGTCCGCCTCCACACCTGGAACTTCGTCGGGTGGCGGTTTAGGCGGAGGAGGAGCAAGTAGGGGGGCCTCAGAAGAAGCGGATGCAGACGGTGGGTGCGTCTTCTCGACTGCTAGCTTAGATAA